TCTGAGAGAATGTGGAAGGATTTGAGATTTTTGTTTGTAATCTATAAATTAACTTCTATAGTAAGCCAGAAATAAAGAGAAGATTCCATGCAAAACTTCAGAACAATAAGAGAACTCCATTTTAAAATGGAACTCTTTCAAAATTTATCATTTTTTGTTAGTTAAAATGATAGAAAGAATCACGTCATTTTAAGTGTGAAGTTTAATTTCATTAAATTTTTTGGAAAAAAATTTGATCTTAATTTTTCAAGATTGATGGCTACCAATCTAAGATTCTTCCACAGTTGATTTTCAAAAATAGTGGCTACATAGCTCAATTCACATTTGGTTTTTTTGAGATAGTGATTAACCTAAGTTAAGATTAATTTCTTATATTTAATTTTCCAAGATTGTAGCTAACATACTGAATTTAAATTAAATTAAAGCTTGTTACTTAGTATATCTAAGCAGTATATATAAATAGATAATTGCATTGTGTTTAACTATCCCACAACAAAAACAACTAAGAGATAGGAGGAAGAGGAAGGGAAAGGAGAGGGATATCATCTCAGAAAGAAACGAAGAAATTTTTTTGGGTGCTTGCAACTTGAGTTATTCGAATTCTTCAAAAGAAAAAAGTCCTGCTATTTTTAATTTTAGAAAGAGAATTCTTCTTGATCATAATAAGAAACCATTCTGGCGTGAAGGAAAAAAGAGTACAAATGGAGCATGATTAGCATCTCGTTCTGAATATCTAGCTCTCAACTTCATAATAGATGGTTGCACACCAAATGGTACTTTTGTTTGATCTTCAATTTTGTATGAATTATAATTATTAACGTACAATTTTTTAAGTCTAGTGGATTATTCAATTTCTATGCTATCTTTGACGCAAGTTTAGGCCAAAGCACCTAAATTTTGATAATTTCTTTTGTACTTCTTGATCTCTTTTAGACTTTTACCATTACTTTGTAGTTCATCATACTTACCCTTAAGTTGATGACACTTTCTTTTGTGATGCCATCCAATAAATTTAATTTCTAATTTAATTATATTTTATATATTCTTTAAATATTTCATCATAATTAGTATAAATAAAAATATTTTAAAATAAAATATCTTTCCTAATTTTTATAAAAAGCATCCCATTCTTTTAAAATTTAAAATCATTGGATGATTTGTTTCAATTTCTTTCTTAATTTTTTATCTCTCTTAAGTTGGACATAAATAATTTAAAAATCGAGTCTAGCAATGAAGGATACTCTGGATATGATGAAACAAATAAGTTTTTTTTTTATTATTTTTAAAATATTTGAATTGGATTTGATGAGATCATTATTATATTCTTTATAAATTTTTAATACATTTTAAACTTTTGAATTCAAAGGTATGACTTAATATTTTTAATAAATTTATGATGCTATTTTAAATTTAAATATTTTATAAATTTTCTTAATATTTCATTAAGAAGAAAAAAATACAAATAGTCAAAAAAAAAAAAAAAAACCATAAAAACACATGCAAATGAGTGTTTGATTGAATTGTGTTGTGATTTGGTCTAGTTTTAGGTTGTGTCGTTCCTTAGTTAACTTTATTTTTTCTCAGTAATTTAGTTTGCCTATATATATAATTGAAGGGGTTGTCATAGATGAACACTCCTAGCCAAACAAATCAATAAAATTTTTGTTATCTCTCCCTCCCTCTCTCCCTCAAGATTCAAAGAAGAAGCGCGCTTCCTTAAGAAATACCAACAAACTAGTATCAAGGGGAAGGAGGAAGTGTTTCTTGTATTCAAGAAGGAGAACGGGAGCCGAGGCCCAGGTGGATGAGTCGATCAAACAGGGTGCGCTTGTCCTGCACATGCTGTTTTGAAAGCTTGATAAGAGGGGGGTAAGCCGTTTAGGATGTAGAGAATAATATCTTCTATGTCGAGATGGGAGCCGGCATCAGTGATATTATCTACTAGAGATTTGATGGTAGAAAGGTATTGGGTCATGGAGGAGTCTTTCATTGTGACATTGTGTAGCTAGTTTTTGAGCTGAATCCTACGGGACCTATTCGTCGGCTGCAGCCCCTTCTTAAGTGTGTCCTAGATCTCATGGCAGCTATGAAGGTTGATGATATATGGGAGAAATGGTAGAGTAGAGGGCTGTTGACAAGTTTTGGTCTAAGAGCTGCCAGGTTGTGTAGGCGGGATTAGGTTTGGTTGTTCCAGCTGTAGAGATGATGAGTTTGGGCGGACAAGGAAGATTTCCCGTGAGGTAGCCAGAAAAATGGTTTGCTGAAATGGTTTTAGTATATGAAGCCGCCATATAGGGTAGTTTTTGCTTGTGAGCTATATATGAGCTATGGATTTGGTGTTGGACATGAGAAACTTAAGGGAGGAGGGGATAGTAGTTTCTGTCATTGAGTTGAGATCGGCTGCGGGAGTATTGGCTGTGCTGGAAGTGCTGAAGGCTGCCATGAGGTCAGGTAGGAGGAGCTTGCTAGGCTTCTTGGGGCTCTGATACCATGAAACAAAGCAGAGATAGCTGAGAATGTAGAGGAAACAGAGAGTAGAAGCAGGATGAAATTTATTACTGTAATAATATGTGCTACAGTGGCTTTGCCTGTATATACATAACCTAAGGTAAAACTAGTTCCTAGTGAGCTAACAGCTGAGATGACTCGGTTGGTGATCAATGGCTGGGGTTGTGGTTGCAGGAGACTTGCAGCTGCCTTGCAGTAGTGGCCACCGAGCTGTGCAGAGAATAACGGCTTGCTTATCAGGTACATGCTTATCAAACATGACAGCCTAATGATGAAACTCTATGGTGCATTCCTGCACATTTTGTACTTAATGTTGTCACATACTATGTCACTTCTTCTATCTATACTAAACATAAGCTATTGGGTTGAACTCTCAACTAATTAACTGATTTGAACTTCCCGCAAATCACCTTTTGATGGCCATTCATCTTTAGATGACCATTCCACCATCCCACCATCCCAGGGCATATTGCTTTAACTTTAGTTAGGCAAAGGCAACTTCGTCATTGGTGCCATATGCATAAGGTAAAGTAAGTCTTCAGTTTGTAAATCTATGCATCGAGCTTCTAGGCATCAACTGGCACATCATGTGTAAGAATCTACACTGGCTTTAATTTTGAATGGTTACATTCTTTCTTGATTGGTAGTCATATCATCTTCTTCATCCTATCCATCCATGTTTCCATTTGGCATGGACGGAGGACGACAATTAATTGGCCCACTAGTCATAGTGCGGTTATTTGCATCCTCGTCCATTCTATCACGGAGGCCATCAATCCATCAATTTAGCCTTTAGTCATTGGGGTAGAATTTTTGTTAACTATTAATTGACCTTCTTCCCCTTTTTTCTCTCTGAAATTTTTAGTGGCTTTTGATGCAACTCGAAGACAAAAAACGTCTCACACTTGTTTTTATTTAATCTTTTTGTTTGTTTCATGCACCAAGAATCAATGCTTCGAATACAACTTGAATATTATAATATGAGTCCACAATGAAAGATTTGAACGGTTAGAAAGAGTTAATAGGAATATATGAATTGGAATTATTTTGGAGAGGAACCCCAGTGATTTAGGAATCAAACTAAGGTTGCATCAGTTGTGTTTTCTTGATGTAAATAACAAGTTACTATACTGGACAACAATAGAAATTATTTTTCTTCTGAATGGTTATAACGGCAAGCAAGTTTGATGTTTTAGATTTACTTCACATTGGTACAACAAATTGCTTGTTGTTTTTGAGTCTTAGATTGTTATATACAACAAACAGCTTTCCTGTACTGGATAGAAGGATGCCCTTTTTGTTTTGAGTCTGTAATGTTTGTAACAACGCTTAAATTATTGTTTCCCTTATATCCAAGTGATGGCCATCACCTGGATGTAGCAGGTGGTAGTGATAACAGTCATAGAGGACAACCAGTAATTGTACAACAATTGGAGGCAGTGGTAGAGCAGGAGGCGGTTTTTAGGGCTGCTGGAAGGGCTATCGGTTGTACGGAAGGGGAGTGAGGAAGTAGAAGTTCTCTGGATATGAATTGAATTTCATTGCATGATCAAATCCACTATAAAAATGAACAATTTATCAAATAAGAGTGACCAATTTTATGCTTCTAACATATGTTACATGTCTTATGTTTATTGCGAGTCCTTAGACCACTCCAACAGAACAACATACGGTGGTATGCCGTCCGCCATTTGCTCTATTCGTACGCTAAATTACACTCCAAAATTTCGGTAGGTGAACAGTGCAACACTGATATTGGCGCCACACTGTTTACCTACGTCAATTTTTTGTGTCAGCGCGATTCGCTGAAGAAGCGCGCGAAAGACGAGAAAGATGGTTACCTTCGCAGCAAGATGAAGATGCGCGTGAAAGAGTAGAAAGAAATGGAGTTCGATTGGAGATGAATTACTGCATTTTGAAGTGGAAAATGAGTTTTTCTGTTGGAGATGCCTTAGGAAGGCATAAATAAACTTTCTTTTAAGAAGATTTGGTAATGTCCTTTTGTGCATTCACGTTCATTTTAAGGGTTAGTTTCGCGGGAAGTGGATGTTTTGGATCAATTTCATTTTTACAGTGAATTTGAGCATTTCTTATGCAAGAGGTTTGAGAAGAACTCATAATCTTAGAGATTTAAAAAAGTGAGATGCGTGCTTCACTGTTGAATGGCTAACGATAATTCAAAAAAACAATAATATTATGATTATTTGTGAAAAATTACTTGTCTTCAGTCTTCGGCTGCACTTGATCATTTATCAAGGACTAATCAGCTCAACCAGTCGAACCAAGGTTTTCCATTAAAATAAATACATTATTTTGGAATAACGAAAGCAGATTATTATTTTTTTTTTTTAAACTTTTTTTTTTTTTGGGACATTTAGGCCATTTTAAGGCAAACTCACACACACAACGCATACACATAGACTCGAACCCTGAACTTCTTAGTTGAAAGCCTAAGCTCTCAACCAATAGGCCAAGGAGAGTTGTGTAACGAAAGCAGATTATATGTGCTTAAAGAGTATAAAAAATATATATATTTACAAGAGAGATGCGTGATTTATAACTTATTAATAGGTTTTTGGATTCAGATTTGTTTATATTTTCTAAATTGATTTGTAGAATAGACCAAATTTATTTCAAATCCTTAAGGACATATGGCATGTATAAGATATTTGTTTATAATTATGATACTATGTAATTGGGTATTGTAAATTATATGCATAGTTTAATCAAATATTGCTCGACAATAGTAAATATTATATTAAGGCGAAGTTCACTTTAGTCTATTTATATTATGAATATAATACTTTTTAGTTTATTGATCTCTATATTTGATCATATGATGTTATTTAATAGCTAAGTAGTATATATAAAAGTAAGTCAATTTAATTTACAGCTTCTTACGGTTGACATTTTAATTACGATTGTGTAGACATTGTTCTTAATTTTAGTTCGAATTCTATATTTGAGTTTGTTATGCTGATTATATTATTATATAGTCCAAATTATGTTTTTTTTATATTCATAACAATGTGTTATTCATAGCTTACAAGAATTTGGGGTGCTTAAATCACTTGAGAATGTTTGTATACAACATTAACTTCATTCTGGCTAACAGAAGATTTTAGCTCTTCAAAAAAAAGAAGAGAGATTTCTAAAGCTTTGTTATCATAGGTGAAATTATTATGTGCGGATGTCGAACGTCGTTTGGAAGCCAATCAAAATGCGCCACATCACCCATTGCTCAGTATCTGGCTCGGTACCGCTGACGTTGCACATATTGATTGGTCTCCGAATGATAAACTGTGTTCGACGTCCGCACAAAATAATCTCTCCTTCCATAGTTATACTTGAAAGAATTGGTCCCAAGCAAGGGCGCCTGCATATATGTTTGTGTTTTTATAACTAATCCTTGTTTCTTCTCATGGCATTGGTGGACAATGAAGCTGCCTGAACCATGCCAATGCATCTATCATTTATGACCATCTTTATTTCATGGTTTTGGAAATATTTCGGCATTCAAAACTTTGCGCACCTTTCCAAAATCCTCAGGCATTGTGCCTATATTATGTTTATTTGTGAGTTTCATTCTTTTCTGCTTCATCTAAGAACAGTAGAATGCAAATGCAGGATCCTGTTCACCATGAGTACTCATTTCGGAGAACTACGGATGAAAGAAGTGAGTCGAAGTATGGATTTTGGGGTGTTCTGGCTAGAAAAGCTAGATCAATACTTGAAGATGATAGTGTTTCACAACAATTCAATGATCACAGTAAAAATGAGTTCCAAATGCTGCACACATCAACGGATAGTCAGGTGAGATTTATCGTTTTTGTATTTCTTAATTTCTGCTAAGGTAATTAATCTTGTTCTCTAATTACAGTTGGCTTTGTTCGTTTTATAGCTTCCAATAAGTAACTTTACCTTAGCCTGGAGCATGTTCTGGTTCTCTCACTAATCATTTCCTTGCTTATCTTGTTTTCTACATGTAAGGAAATCATGCTTTCGAAACTTCACTCTGCTTATTGCAGTTCAATCAGCCTAATCTGGCAAAGGGGAGCATTCGAAAGTCTGAAAATCTTTCTTCTTCCCTTAATCAAATTGGAGGAACAATAAAAAGTGCCCTCGAGGTATCATTGAATCATTTTCGGATAATTTTTTATCTTCATTTTCCCTTTTTCCATAAATTAAAAAGCTTTTCATTACAGATTCGTTGGTAATAAAATTTTAACTGCTATTGCTTCTGTCAGGAGGGTTTGATGATTGTCGAGAGTAGGGCAGCTGACATCATTCAGGAAACAGAGAAAATTCAAATTAGGAGAAAATCAGCCAGTTCACGAGATCAAATTGATTTTGCAGCTACAGAAAATTTCTCTGAAAATCTTTCAGACCAAGAAAATTCATTGAAGGCATCTCGAAACGTAAGGTGGCAGCTGTGTTTCACAGAACTAAATAAGAAAGACTGTATACTCTTTCACACTGCTCAGTCAAATAGACACACTGAAACTTTTTATTCTTTAGGCATATTAAGATTGCCACTTGCAGACCGTCAATGCCGAGTACACGTTTCTTGTGCTAATTGCCCTCATCCAAAAGTAAATTGCTATGATTGATTCCTAAATGCAGCATATCTTTGCGAAAATGTAGAATGCAGCCTTTTTCTTTCAGTAGATTTCGAATATTGCATGTTCATTTTCATTCTAGTACATGGGAGGAACTGCCACCAGCTTATCTTATTATTTGAACTAGATAAATAATTTATGTTGTCGGATTTTCCTATTCAACCTAGCTTGGCTACGTCATATTTTTTTAACAATTTTACAATTTGAATCACGAAAATAATTTTCTATGCAATTTCTATGACTTCGGTGTTCTGATTCCTTTTCCTTAATTGATATATTAAATATCAAGTTACATGCATCCTGGCCTACTTAATTTTAAAAGAGTGTTCTCTCTTCTTATTTCTATTTTATACTTACAGCTAGCAAATGCAATGGCTGCCAAGGCCAAACTTCTCTTGAGAGAGCTAAAAACCGTCAAAGCTGAGCTAGCTTTTGCCAAGGAAAGATGTGATCAGCTTGTAGAGGAGAACAAACATCTGAGGGAGAGCCGTGAGAAAGGAGACCATACCCAAGATGATGACCTGGTATGAATCCTCTTCTACTCCAGGGCTAATTCCTTTCACCATAGTTGTATTTTTAGTTCGCGTAATGGTGCCTCTCCCTTAAACTTCCTGAAGATTCAGTCCTAGTAAGAGAAGTGCTTCTTAGACCCGTGGTTATAACGCCCTCTGTAATCCATGGTTAAAATTACTTGTCGAGAATGACTAACACAATGTATGGCCTTGGTCGTCTAATAATTGAAGTTCAATCTTGATCAACCACAGGTCACGCGGGCTTAGGTGTAGATGCCTCTGTGAAACATTTCTATCCTTGAATTTACATTAGCATGCCACAGTTTATGAAGTCTCCATCAATGTGGAATCTATAAAGGGGCTAACGTACACAGCCTTCCACTCAGAGAGGTTATTTCCATCATAGTAACTTTTTAGCAATCCCCCATATTGAATTTCTACAAGTATGAGGTGTCTCAGTAGCAATAAACTATAACTCTGAATTGGATTAATATATGAATTCTGAATCACATGTTATCATGGTCCCATTTGCAAGGTGGTTGAAACATAGATCTGGCATTGGAGTTTGTCACCATCAATGTCACACTCACTATATGTGTCGTCCCAATATCTAAATTGAAAAAAATTGTATATTTTTATCTTCTTAATCATCAACCAGATTTTACTAATTTATCTCAGATAATATAAATAGAAAAAAAATATAAATATGTTACTATTCATCTAATATTTAAACTGATGGGGGCATCGACAGGAGATTCCGACGCGTTTATCAGAGACGACACCGGAGATCGACGGCCATGATGGAGGGTCTTTACTACTGATGACTTGTTGTATCTACATTTCATATATTACTTGCTTATTTTCAGTTTTTTCCCATTTTACCCTTGTGGGTATTAGTTTTCTCTTGTAGCCCGAGGGGCATTTTAGGCTTTTGTACTTGCTTTCATTTGGGAGCCTATTTATATGGCTCTTGTATCTTGTATGAGGCTAATGAATTATTGAATGAAATTATCTTATGCTTTGTTCTCTTTGTGAGTTCAATATCTTTGAGATCTCTTAGTGAGTTCTTTGTGATCTCTTTGTGAGTTCACTTGGAGAAATCAAACAAGGCTTGCAACCCTTAATCTCTTGCCTCTCCGCTATAGAAGATCCCAAGTAAAGAAGAGGAAGCAAAGAAGCTCGAGCCCCTTGTTGCCACCGCCCCTAGAGCTACCCACCGCCACCCTAGCCTCGCCCGCCGGCCACCTTGCCGCCGGCCTTCTTTCCTCTCCACCGCCTCCCCACATCTTCCTCCCCTACTTCTCATTGAAATTTGAATTTCAAATTTCAATTTCTTTCCAAATTTGGAAATTCTATTTATGGAAAGTTTTTGAATGAATCCAAATTTAAAATTAAATTGGTTTGGATTTAATTTAAAATTTTCCTAGTCATCTTTTATTTTTGGAAACCCCTCCCCCTCTCTCCCTAACTCCCTCTCTCTCTAACTATGCCGCCGGCCCCCCTATGTGGAATCCCCATTAATTAGGCAATTAACTCTCCATCTTATTTGAAATCCTAATTAAGTCCAAATATTTTTCCCTCCAATTACATCAAAACTGAAACTAATTTCAGTTTTTCAAATCCCCCTCCCCCTCTCTCTCTCTACAGCCGGCTCCCCCTATGGCTCCATTCACTTAAATTTTCTTTAATGCCTTAATTGCCTTTTAATTGGAAAATCAAATCTCAATTTTTCCCTCCCAATTCCCTTAAACTGAAATTAACTTCAGTTTTCCAAAGCAAATCAACCCCTTTCCCTCCCTCTACCGCCGGCCTCCCCTCCTCCTCTTCAAGCCGCCCCTTCCTATCCTTGGGTGGCTCTTGGTGATTGCTCGTCTTCAAATCCATGGTGTATGGCGGATCCCGCCATTGATCACGGACTCTTCTACGACATCTACGGAGATATCCACGTCTTAAGATCTCCTTTCTTCGACGTTGGATTTGGCTTCGACAGTACCGTCGAAGAGTACTTGGACCGGATTTTACCAACATTAGTGGACGCCTTCGACGACCAATTCTCCGACTACACGTGGATCATTAAAAGTCGTCCTCCCGTGCCACCTCCACCTCCAAGTTCCTTCTCTTTGGCGATGTTCTTTGGCTCCTCCCTCCTCGTGGCAACCTCGTTTCTAGCGTGGACGATCTTCCGCCGATCAACCTAGTTTCGTAGGAAAAGAGAGAAGAGTCCTCAAGGTGAACAACTCCTTATTAATTGTTGGATTCAAATCACTAGCTTTTAACTTTGCATTCTCCTTTGTATTTGCTTAAATTGTTTGGCTAATTTCCTTGTAATTCCTTTGCCTAAGCAAGTGGAACACTATGAATTCTTGTAATCGATTTTAATTTGAAGCATGATTATATAAGTGGTTAAGCTATTGTTTAAATCTTGTTATTAATCTAGTGTAACTCAACTCATGCATCACATCATAAACATTGATCCATAACCCAAAAAATAATATATACAATAATCATGATACTCAATACAAATAACTAATTACTAAAATATATCATGATCACAAAATAAAAAATTAACATAAGCAGAAAGAAAACCTTAACTTGCCGCCCAGATCAATCTCACTCCACCGGTTCCTTACCCTTACTTGAAAATATGTAAAAATCACATAATGAGCACCAAAACCCAACAAATCACCAAAATCTATAATTGAAATCAATGCACAAAATGAAATATATCCATGTAAAAAATCATATTTCAATGAATAGTGGCTATCATAGTCTTGTTGCACTTAGTTATGTTTCTTGTATCATTCATTCAATCAATCAATCTCATTGGTAAATCAATTATATCAATCGTATCATATATCATATGTTTTGTATCATGTATATCTTGAATCTTGTATCTCATATCATGTCTCCTGTATTATGTATATATCTTTCATGTTGGGTTAGCTAACCCAACATGAATCAGTCATTTGTCATGTGATAAACCCACCAAGAATCGGTCTAATTGCTCATCAATCATTAGTCTAATCAATCATGTCTCATCAACCTTATCTATTATTAGTCATATCTATCATAAGTCATAAGTCTCCACTCATTAGTCTTATCAGTTATATCAGCATCAATCTCATTTTTCTCATCTAGCACAGCAGTTCATTCATTTTGTTTGTTCTTACACACATTTCATATCATGTATATCATAACAATAGACATCTTGTACAAATCATATGCAATTATATCATAACATGTAGAACTATTCAGTGTGCTTAGAAAAATACATATATTATACCAAAATACATGATATGCTAAATGAGCAGTAACCGTATGCACATCATGTATTTCACATCTAGATTAAGTACATTAGCTCTTGGTCATTTTGCACCCACTCTTACTCTTTCCATTTTAAATAAAATGTCATTTTTGCTAAGCTAATTGATGAAATTGCAATATAAACAAGTCAAAATATTTAGAATGAGGATATCTACCACATACCACAAGTTACACGGTAAAAGTTCGTTAAAATGAGAGATATTGTACTTTTATCAATTTCATGAGGGAGAAAATAAATTAAGTTCAAAATTATCAAAAACATATGTAAATTAGAGGTTAATTGCAATGATTAGAATAATTTTCGTAATAGAAGTAACGGACAAAAAAAGCCTCGGAAGACCTTCTTTCCTCCTCTTGCCCCCTTTTCTCCTCCTCTCTTCCTGTTTTCCCAACAAGGCAAGAAAAATGGAAAGGGGATGGCTTGGTTAGAGGATATATATATATATATCATTTAGTGTTCGACGTTGTGGCGCTACAGTCTACTGCGCCAGCGTCGCTGCGCTGCATCCATAATTTGAGGTTACTGTAAATAAGAGATTAGAGTGTCACCGCGCTTGCCAACTCAGTGCCGCAGGAAAATTCATTTTATAAAAATTTAATTATTACAATGAATTTCTCATCAATAACAAAATGCTACACATTTTGAAAATTTCAAGGTTCATAGCTGCTTTGCCATGTCCGTAGCACTGATCAAAATGGATAAGGTTATCAGCGTGCACGCCTCGAGCTCTTGACACATGGCACTGTGGAGACCTATCTTATTGCATTCTTCCGACACAATTGGAACTTGGTCACCATTTTAATTTAGTACTGAAAGAGTTAAGAGTTTTCATCTATTAGATTTAAAAATTTATTTCATTACACTATTATTACTGGCCAAAGTGGCTTCTTCACAATTTCATCCATCATTACCAGCTCCACAACTTTATTTGATTTTGGTTTCCTATTAATATAGATTCGTCTCCAACTTGAGACCCTGCTGGCAGAGAAGGCAAGGCTGGCACAGGAGAACTCCATATACACCCGAGAGAATCGATTCTTGAGAGAGATTGTGGAATACCACAACCTTACAATGCAGGATGTTGTCCACTTGGACGACCGTATAGAAGATAATGCCGACGATGGAGCTATACATATTTCATTACCGTACTCATCTCACTCTGCATCTGAAGTGATCTCCCCAGCCATATCATGTCCTCATGCTCCGCCGGATTCTCCAAGTTCTGTTGTTCAGCCAGATTCATCATCCCCTGCTGCCGCCCCTGCCCCAAGAGAAGATGCGAATGAAATAAGGTCAAGCTCATCCCCAAAATCTGAACTCCCTCTCCTTCAACTGAAACTTGAAAGGGCAGACTAACTCTTCGTTTGAGACAGCTTTTTGTTGCTTCTAAAACGGTTTTCTAGTACAAAAATTTTTAATTCATAAATTTTTTATAATAAAAAGTTGTTTTAGAAAGCAGCAAAAAAGCTGTCTCAAACGAAGTTTAAATGTTGGCATTTTGAGTGCTTAGGGCATCTCCAACCGAAAAACTCATTTTTCACTCCACAATGCAGTAATACATCAAAATACAATAATTTGTTTCCAACCGAATTCCATTTTCTAACACCGAAAAAGAATATTCCTAGCATATTCTTTTCCAGACTTCATTTTGTATACACCAAAATGCAGTAATAATTAATTTTCGAATAAAAAAAAAAACAAATGGCGGGGCGGGTTGCGACCCGCCGTCATATAGCGGTAAAAATACCGCTCGGATGGAGCGATCAAAGAAACGCCATACGTTTTTATGGTGTTCCGTTGAAGATGCCATAAGCAATAAGTTTCTATTCAACAAAACGAAGGTGATATTGTTCTGAAGAGAAGTCAAGCATTCAGGCACTGTGAAAGCGTTCAGATCTTGGCTTAATCAATGAGGGCATCTCTTCAAACAAAAAAATATTATCTTCTGGGAGAGAAATTATTACGTGTGATTATCGACGTCATCTAGAAGTGAATAAGGATGCGCGACGTTATTATTTTATTGTGTATCGGGTGATGTAGCACATCTGGATTTACTTCCGGACGATCTAATTATCGCACTTAATCATTTCTCTTTATGAAGGCTTTAATTTTTTACTCCTAAAAACTAAAAAGCATTATCAGGAGGGAGCAAAACAGGATATATATATATATATATATATATATATATATATATATACTTCGCACATCTCACTATCACAAAATTCAGGGCACTCACAGCACAACAAAAGTGTGCTTTAATTGGAGTGTAATTAAGCCAAGTGGGCTCCTTAGTCAATTCAGATTTGACTCGGCAAATGAGCATATATTAATGAGCTAATAAGTAAGTCAAATTTGATTAGCTAGCTGACTTATCTTGTCAATGTATGATCTAGCTTATTTGAATAATATTTATGTAAATCATAGATAAAATATATTAGAATTCAATTATTTAAATTCAAAATTAAAAAAGTTTTAAAATTATTTTTTTCTTAAGTTTTTAATTAAACATTTGCATAAATCCGATTTTTTTCGTAATAAATGAGCTAACTTGTTAGCTGACCCAAACTCGTTAAATTAAACTTGAGCTGAAATTTGAAATTGATTAGTTGGTTAAAATAGTGAAGGAGGTGTTTGAACTTGATTAATTATTCTATTTCAAATTATTATTCCTTTTACTAATAAAATCAACAGAACATAAGCATAATAATGCAAAAAGGCTTAAATGCTTACAGTTTTCTTTCTAAAGAATTATTATAAATGCATAAATGCTTACAGAATCATAAGAGAATTATTATTCCTCACTTTCTCTAAAAAAATTCTGTTTAAACTTTAAAGAACTAGAATTGTTATAAATAATAATAATAATAATAAATCATTGCAACACTTATGCATGTGACTAAGGCTTTGTTTGGGACAGCTTTTTGATTGCTTCTTAAAACGGAGTTTTAGTACAAAACTTTTAATTTTTGTACTACAACTCCGTTTTAAGAAGCAATAAAAAAGCTGTCCCAAACAGGCTTCGCTTGGGATGTTTTTTTACTACTTTTTAAAATAATTTTCTAACTTGAGTTAATAAACTGAGTCATTAACTTGCCCTCTAACACCCTACTTACAAATGGGAGCAGTGGTATAGTTCTATATGAAATGTTCCACATAAGAAAAATAATTAAATTACATAATATCTCCTAAGGACGGCCAGCCATAGAAAGATGTTATGCTAGTTGTAAGTTTTTCAATACACAACTTATGCGATAGAAATTTTCAAATGAGGCTTAGGTTTTGTTTGGGACAGCTTCTTTATTGCTTCTTAAAGTAGCTTTCTAGTTCAAAAATTTTAATTATTGTACTAAAAAGCTACTTTAAGAAGCAGTCAGAAAGTCATCCCTAACAAAACCTTAGACCCACATGAAGTAGTTGGACGACTTCATCTACTTTGAGCTACGTTGAAAGTTCTACCTATTAATTTGCCTTTTTTTTTTTTAAAGTAGGGTTAGTCGGGCAAGCCAACCCTATAAGATCCATAAATTATGTCGGCCATATGTCTTGATAACCATACAGCGCCCATCAAATAAAAGATGTGCGTGGCATACATAGCCAACCGACCCTTTTTGTATTAATTTGCCTTTGAGACTGAGTTTTTTGGTGAATTAATTTGGTGATTTATTCTACTTTATCAAGTCATCTCTTAGGCTTGTGATGAATTTGTCTTCGCCAATCTCATTATGGCTAGTTGATGTTGGGGTTGATGAAGCCTTTCATTTGGAGCAAATTATTGGGTTCGGACACCGGCCTTGTTTGGAGCCCAATGAAAATGCGCCACATCACCTCCTACTCAGTACCGAGCAGTACCGAGCTCGGTACTGCTCAGTACTCAATACTTCACAGTATCGAGCTTAGTACTGCTCGATACTGTGAAGTACCGAACGTAAGTTGTGTCTGGTGTCCGAACCCAATAATCTCTCTTCATCTGGTGAGTTCAATATAATGGATTGGCCATGTCAATGCACCATTAGTCGATTGAGTTGACTCAAATCTGATCTTGACAATTTTGGTTGTGCACCTTTGGTAATAAATTTCTCGAATATTATTGGTAAGCTTTGTGCTACCATGAATTCTTGTTTAAGTATTGGCATAGAATATAGATATTCGGCTTGATGGTAACAAGTGGATTTAGGTTTGTTAATTTTTGTACTAAAATTCTGTTTTAAAAAGCAATAAAAAAGTAGTTCCAAACGAAACCTTAGTCAATATTCTAATAAGAGGGAGGATATGGTGATTAGAAAGAGATCATTTGTTAGGAACATGGTTGACCATTATGATGTTTTTTTCTCTCGGTAAGAGGGTAGATAAGGCTATTAGGTTAATGGGCGGCAAACATTAGTGGATGGTAGATGTTGGTTATTGGCAAACATCAAACGATGATTAATAGAGAATATTAAAAGTAGAGTGATTTGGGATTGTCAGCTTGGTCATTCTCCTGTTATGAGAGATGAACAAGTTACTTGGGAGATGAGCATAAGAAGTTAGTCACAGACATAGATAAAAAATTAATCTTTGGCTGGCACTGAGCAGTGATCAATAAAGAATGTTGAAATTTGAGTTATAGCAGTTTGCTATGTTGTTTTATTTATATAAGGGGATATTTGATGATCGAGAAGACAAGCATTGAACATTATTTGTTGACAAACGTCTGATGATGATGGCTTTTGATGTTGGTTGGAAATTGATTAATGGTTGATGTCCGGCGACAATAAATGTCTATATCAATCAATAAAAAAATGTTATGCAATGTTTAACATCGTTCAAAGATTGAGGATGGGCATTAATTGATGGGAAATATTGATAAATTGCTAACAATGGGAGACAAAATCAGTCGATGACTAACCACAGGGGATGATCTATAATGGGTAGATATCTAATTTTTTTTACAAATTACAAATTTTCTTTGTCGAAATTTGTTTTTCCTCGAATGTTTAGGAATATCACATATTTATATATTT